AAAAAAAGGCTGGTATTTATAGAAAAAAATTCATTAATTTTTGGGTATTTTTTAAAAAAAATTCCGAATTTTTTTCAGTATTTTATTGCAAAAAAATTGGCTGCCGTTGGATTGGAGGAAAAAATTAGATCGGAGAGCCCAGCAGACGCCACGTGGCAACAGGAAAAAAAATCAAATCAGCGAATCAAAGCAGCGAGCGACTGTGGCGGTTACTGGAGCGCTACAGTAACCCCCCTCGTTTTGGACCTCAGGCAGAACTTGCCTTCGGGCCAGCCCGAGGAGGTGGGTCCCACACCCCCCCGGGCCTGGGCTGCTCCGCTGGAAAGCCATTTTTTTTTTTTCCCCCTAGCCTCGGGCTGGGCTGAACGGGTGGAAAGGCTCTAAGTAAGGAGTACTTTTTTTCTTTTTCAGGTTTGAGAAACAAGTAGTACATGATCATGAATGCGAGATAATGTTGCATGTAACGGTCCACGCTTTTCTCGTTTCAAAAACGGAATCTCAATTTGCACGAGAGAAAGTTAAACGATTCTCCCACGTTTCATTAAAATGAATTCTCACTCTTGAAGTCATATTTATGTGTGTGTGTATATATATATATGTATAATATGTACATAAATCACTGTCTACTTGTTCACTTTAATGGATGCAAACGATGAAAGCACAACAAGAAAACCATTTGAGAAGATTAGAGCTCCTTTTCACTTAAGCCATAAGCGATGTTTACTTGAAGCAAAATACATCTCTCTCTCTCTCTCTCTCTCTCTCTGGACAAACACAAAATGCCAAATGGGGCATCGAGAAAGGGTGACTGAAGATAAGAATGTGGGCCATTAGGTACACTCACTTAGAGGGGACAAGGAAGCAAAAAGATTCCCTTTTAATTAGATTTTGATTCTGCAAATTAAACATATATATGTTTAAGGCTGAGAATAATCACTTATACATCGATACATGGGATTCGAGGCCTGAAATTCTTCTGGGGTGACCCAAATAACCCTTCTTTTATTCGTCAATTAATTTATGCTTCTTCTAGAATAAGAATTTTGTGAGATTTCTGCTGCCCTCATCTTCTTATTACTTTTATAAATAAATAAAAACATTTGTATCTTACTATTATATATTGGCACGCGCATAAAGTGATTGACTGAAACGAGTACTTCAAATACCAAGTACCAACAATGAGGAAGAGGAGAAGTAAAATGTGCTCCAATTTTTTATATTCTTTCCTTCCCTAGTAGGGTTAATATCATCTTTTTGGAAAGGATACTGCTTGTCTCATTCCCTTCCCTGTAAGGGGATGCTCCTCATTCATGCAAATCACAGTTTGATACATATGCAAAAATAATTCATTGAAAATATCAAAAGAAAAATCTCTACACACATGTCGACCTGTAATTGGCAGAGAAGTAGGAGCTTCTACTTCCAAAGAAGGAAACAAATATTTTTCCGTCAAGATTTTATTGATGCGAGTATAAATTCGCATCAATGTCAAAAGAAATAGACCAGAAGAATTCCCATAAAAGTAGTTTACAATATACAATTATAGTATAAGAGCAACTTGGTCTTAAGAAAAGGAAAAAGAAGAAGAATCAGCATAATAGAATACAATAAATCAAATTTACAGATGGGATGAATGGAACCAGGAAAGGGAAGAGAAAAAAGGCGGAGCGTGCTAGCTGAAGTGGAAGGCACTATTTTCCTACGTCATCTAAATGTGTGACTTTAATTTTACCATAACAACGTTCTCTTCTTCTCTCTGCCCTGCGCTACGCTCAACCGCGTATGTCACTATCTCAGATAGCCAGATCAGGACCCATCTGCTTCAAAAACCAAACCTAAATTCAACTGAATTTTCGGTTTAAAAAAAAATAATAATTAAGGGAGTGTTTGGTATTCTATTCAAATAGAGAATTCAAAAACTTTGATTTTTCTTAAAAACAAGGAGTTCTTAAATCTATTTTTAAAATTCAAAAATTGTTTGGTATGCAACTTGAAAATTGTATTCAAATCTTAAAAATATGACTACCAAACAGGTTTTCTTAAATTGCTTCAACTGACCATTATACCCTTGGTCAGTTTTAACCAAGTTTCTAGGTACCTTCTGTCACATGCACAAGCAAGCTGCAAGTGATGAGGAGCAAGGCTGGCTTACTTGAAGGGCCAACTACAAAACTCAATTAATTTTAGCCATTGGATTAGTTGATGATGAGATCATCCAGACCCTCTTGGCCATGATGTCATGCTGACTTGCTCTCCATGTGTTTGTGGTGAGAAGGAAATTAAACCAGCTCAGAGTCATATCTATAATGGGGAATTCAAATTTAAGCGCGTCAAATGGGTTGTGTTAGCATAAACTAATATGATATTTAGCAGCTAATAATGATCTACACAGATTCTAACATATCTTGCTAATCAAAGGGTATATTGGAATTCATATCATAGTATCTACATGAAAAGATCTCAGTTGTACTATTTTAAAGCTCATTTGTGAAGGTAGCATTAAATGAACTAAATAAATATTTCTGTAATTTTTTTTGGTACAAGCGATTGAATGAGGGTGGTTTACACAAATATTAATTAGGTGCCTCGAACCTCTGCGAGCATAAATGAAAGTAGAAAAATTCAACCAACTGAGTTATACTCTACTGGCAATATTTATGTACTTTGTTTAAGGAAATGCTGGTCAGGTTAGGTTTGTACATCTATTTCTTTTTTTTCTTTTCTTTTTTGGGTTTTTTTATGTTGTTGGGTTGGAGAGGCTTGGAGAGCACAGGGTGGTTGTAATAAAGGGGTTTTTCTGCAACTTCCCCTAGACCCAAATGCGGCAACTTGCAAACAAATCCTAGTGGTAATTATGTAATTTTGTATCAATTATAGGGCTTGTTTTAATTGAGAATTTTTTTATAGTCCACAGGTGGGAATTTCTCTAAAGAGGACCTTGCTCTCTTTTGTCTCTCTCACCAAGTCACTCCCCCACTCTCATAAAAGACTCTGGTATACAGTGCAATTTCAAGCTTCAAATTCATTCAACCAAGGTATTCCTGTCAACAAGACTTGATGTTTTCAAAGTTGGAATTCTTTGTCAAACAAACGGTCTAGCATTTATTAATTTTCCACTCAAATTCTCTGTTTTCCATTTGTAATAGTGGTCTTGCTACACTAGTCATTTTTTTGGGAAAATTTTGAGCTTTAAGTAGTGTTGCCATGGATGATTCTCTATTGCTCAAACTGGGTTGGTGATGTTTCTTCAAGGTATGTCAGATATGAGTTTTGTTTTCTTTTTGGTGGATTCTATGATGCTCTGTTTTCATATTCTCTGTTTTTGGCTGGAAAGACTGGCGCTTGGAGTTTGAATTGGCTTTTACAAGGCATATTGTTGTTTCATGTTCTTGTTTCTGTTTGAGATTTGGTGACCCTTTTTTATGATTTGAATGTTTGTGGAAAGCATCAAACTTTATCATTGGCTTGAAACAAATGGGTTTCTCACAGAACGAAAATTTGGATTCCAATTTGTTGGTGTTGGAGCCAAAGATTAAGCGCTTTATGTTTTTCTGAGCATATTGATTGGTCATTATTTATTTCCTTTGCTGATTTTGAAATGAAAGTCTGCATTCGAATTCATCATGGCAATTTCGTCTGAGATGCATTTGGTTGGAGAGGCTCATACATACTTCTTTTCACTTTCGAAATGGAAAGAATGCGGCAACGCGAGATCATTAAATTGGTCGAGCTATATTGCACCAGAAATTTTGTGATCATTATCAATTCAAATCTATGGTTGGCAAAACTTTTTTATTTCTTTAATTGTTTGATCATATTTATGGAGATTGGCCACCTATAGTTGATCATTTTTCGTGTATACCATTTTAGAATTTTATATTTTTTTTTCTCTGCTTATCTAGGTAATATTCTCTGTTGTAAATAGCTTACATTGAATTTTTCCCAGTTTGATAAAAAAAAAATATTTACCAGTATTTTCTAGTACAAATATTTTAAAGGACATAGAAATCGAGAATTGAAAACAAGAACTAGAATTGTCAGAGAACAATTAGACTATCATACACTAGGCTAAAATTGTCCCTTATGGTTTTCCTGCAGATTATGCTGTGTTTTGCCCTCTTTGTTCCAGATATCAGTGTAACCAATGTCTCTTGTTGTCATACAGATTATGTTTCTGGCAAGAGAATTCAAGGCCTCCTATGCTGCTCAAATGGAGACTGAATAACACCAAATAGAGAGACCGGACAAAGTCAACAATCAGACTATTCTTCAATGCAAACATCAAAGCATCACAGAAGTTCAGGCATGTCGAACCGATTGTGTTATCAGCCAATCCAAGAAGTAGAAGCCTACTGCTTGCCTCGGTTCCAAACTTTGGACCCCCAGGTGCTTTACAACAATGAGAGCAGCCAAAGTACCGTCTTCTCAGCTCAGAATTTTCATATTAAGTACTGCACTTTGGAGTCTTCCGCAGCAAATGGCAGCTACACTGTCTATAACTCCCCATCAACTGTCAATTTCTCGCCGAACGGAAGCCCGATGTCACAGCAAGATTCTCACTCATATCCACCACCTGACCAGTACCATTCCCCTGACCAGAATTATAGCTCTCCAATAAGCGGATCCTGCATTACCGATGATGCAACCGACTTCAAGTACAAGCTGAAACAGTTAGAAACTGTAATGCTAGGTCCTGATTCCAATATTCTTGACAACTATTGCAGCACCTTTCAGAATGGGACTAGCAATACCCTGCCAGAAACGGATAGCTGGGGACAGATTATGGATTCAATCTCTAAAAGGGATTTAAAACAAGTCCTCATATTCTGTGCAAAAGCAGTAGCAGATAATGATCTTTTACTGGCACAATGGATGATGGATGAACTACGCCAGATGGTGTCGGTTTCTGGTGAGCCAATTCAAAGGCTGGGAGCATATTTGTTGGAAGGACTAGTTGCACGGAGGGCATCCTCAGGGAGTAACATCTACAAAGCATTGAGATGCAAAGAACCAGCAAGTTCAGAACTACTCTCCTACATGCATATTCTTTATGAGGTTTGCCCCTACTTCAAATTCGGGTACATGTCTGCAAATGGAGCCATTGCAGAAGCCATGAAGGATGAAAATAGCGTTCACATAATTGATTTCCAAATTGGGCAGGGGAGTCAGTGGCTCACTCTAATCCAGGCCTTTGCAGCCAGACCTGGTGGACCACCCCACATCCGCATAACAGGCATCGACGACTCCATGTCAGCTTATGCCCGCGGAGGAGGACTAAATATTGTAGGGAAGAGGCTATCTAAGCTTGCCGAGTTGTTCAAAGTGCCATTTGAGTTCCATGCTGCTGCCATGTCTGGTTGCGAGGTTCAGCTGAAGCATCTCGGTGTTCGACCTGGGGAAGCATTGGCTATGAACTTTGCATTCATGCTGCACCACATGCCAGATGAGAGTGTCAGCACTCAGAATCATCGCGACCGGTTGTTGAGGTTGGTTAAGAGCTTGTCTCCAAAGGTAGTGACCCTTGTTGAACAAGAATCTAACACAAACACTGCTGCATTCTTTCCACGGTTTGTGGAAACACTAAATTACTACACTGCTATGTTCGAGTCAATCGATGTTACTCTTCCAAGGGATCATAAGGAAAGGATCAATGTAGAGCAACACTGCTTGGCTAGGGAGGTGGTTAACATAATCGCATGCGAGGGCGTTGAGAGGGTGGAAAGACATGAGCTTCTTGGGAAGTGGAGGTTGCGGTTCGCAATGGCTGGATTTACTCCATACCCTTTAAGCTCCCTGGTAAATGCCACCATCAAGACACTGCTAGACAACTACTCTGACAAATATAGGCTTCAAGAGAGAGATGGAGCTCTCTATCTTGGCTGGAAGAACAGAGATTTGGTTGCTTCTTGTGCCTGGAAGTGCAAACCGAGCACAAATTAAAGCATTTTTTCTTGGAGTGGAGGCAAGGCAGGCTTAGAATAGAACATGCTTTTTCTTTTTCGATCTGTTTGTACACTTATTAGCTGCTAACTGCTTATGAGAAGGGTGCCATCAACTGTGCACACTTCCATAAATTGAAGTTAGCCGTTTTCTGTGTCCATTTCATGCCATCAGACCTTTAGGTTTGGATGGCTGGGAGAGAGAACTGATTTCAGGAGGCATTGGGTTTGTACATGGTTGGAGTAACCGGCACAAGTGCTTCGTTTTTCCTCCTCCTTTTGCTTTTGTTTTTCTTTCGAGGCAGTTTAAATTGAACAGTCAAATAAAGAGAATTGAAAATGGAGTAACCATGCATGCTCTAGTTTGGTCTTCAGCATATCCAAGTTACAGGATTTTGAATCAAATACTACAAGGGTTTGTGCACAAAAACAGCTATCAGATATCAAGTGCTACTGAGTACTTGCTTAGTCTAATCTACGTCTTTGAGTTTATTCAATCCATATAAATAATTACACAACTATTGTTAGTCTTCCAATCTGCAGTTGAACATCATTGCCATTCCACCAAATCCTACCCTCCAACCAAGAGTGCCTTCCCCCACCGGCATCCTCTCTCCCGAAAAGACAAATAGAGGATGAAAGAATAAGATATACCCCTAGCACCAAGCAGGTCCTGATACATTAATACATTATTTAGGGTCTAGATGAATGTGGATCCAGCATTGCAGGTTAACTTTAGACAGGTTCTGCTTTTGGATTTTTTTGCTCCGGTGAATTACTTTCGGGACACAGATTGCCGTGAATGACCGTATCAATGCAGGCGTTGTTTCCTTCTGATTTAATTCCTGACTCGCCATTTTGCAATTCATTGGCCCTAGGAACAATTATATCGGGGGCATCACTTTCTTCTGTGGTACATGCTTTGCCAACCACTTGCTCATTTAATTTTCTTTCAGGACCCAGATCAGAATCAACGACCATATCACAGCCAGCAACATCACTTGATTTAGTTCTTGGCTCAACATTAAGTTGCTTGTTTGGTTTATCTTCGTGTTCTGGGCTAGTATCATGGCAGACAGCATTCCCTTCTGACGTAGTGCCAGACTCACCATTACGGGCCGTTGTAATCACATTTGATGCTGCTGCATTGTGGGTCACAGTCCTTGTGGGTGGCATATCATGATCATGTTGCCCCTCATATGTGGCTATAACAACTTTTGAATCATGAGACGCCCTCTCTACATGTTTCTTAACAGGGCACCCAGGATTTGAGCATCTGTAGTAACTCCTACGCAATGCAAGTGCAGAAGCAGAGCAGAGTCAGCAAAAAATTACACCAAAGAAAATAGGACCGAAAAATCAATACCAAGGAGATTAATTTCAAATTTTCAAAACATAAACAAATCTCGTCCACATCCTTCTCCAAGATACATACCAAGGAAGACAAAACGAAATAAAACCAGAAGCAGGACATGTTTGAACAAAGCTTACAGATGCATAGTGAATCATTTACCCAGTTGCCCTATTGTCTAAGAAGTAATCGGATCTACTTCTTCCGATTTATCATCAAAGCAAGATACAAGACTACAGAAGTATATGCAAGTTAAATGAAGGAAAACAATGCCTTAGTTGGTCTAGGCAGTTACTGCATAGGAAATGGTTCCATGGAGGCACAAAAGTCTCAGAACGTGTGTTTTTTATGAATTTTTTTTTATTAAGGCACTTTGCCAGACATTGGTTTGCACCATTAGACCACATCCGCAATTAAGTCCTTAGTCCAGCTCAGGGGTGTCATAAAGCATGTAAATTACTTCCACCGGATACTATCATATTGCTGCAGTTGCAGTTTGATGCTACTAAGCAGTTGCAAACTTGCAATGATCACTACGTTTAAAATTTTCTTCCTTCCCCTTGCTTGCAAGTATCAAGCAGAAATATTAGGCTCACAGTCCAAAACTCTTAATGTAAACTTAGCCTGCATAAGCAGTGCATCTATCAAAACCATGATCTATACATTATTATATCTCCAAAACAAGAAGCAGGGTGGCAAAATTCAGGTACACACCTAATATAAAGAGTTAATACATGCTACCATTAAACTGATATGTACCTTGGATTTGGGTTGCCTTTTACTAACTTCTGCCCATATTTGCGCCATCTGTAGCCATCATTCACTATATCAGCCTCACTCATAGTCTGAACAACAACACGCGGTTCACCAGCTGGCTTATCCACCGGAATTGAGTTGCCATTATGTTTTTCCTTCTTCCTGTTTTTTTTTTTTTTTTTTTTTTTCCCCCCCCAAAATGGCAGTTAAACAAAGGTGAATACCATATACCACTACACACGAAAATCCAAAATAGCTAAGAATGAACATACTGTCTTTTTGAGTCTGGATCACCATCTCTGGTTCTATTTGATTGAGAGAGCACTCTCTGCACACCTTCATTATCTGCAACGGTTGATAGCTGAGCGGGATCCACTGGCTCAATCTGGTTAGATGTGTGGCCATGCACATCCGATGATTTGCCTTCAAATACAAGGTCATCAAATAAAAATCAAACAAGATTGGGTACTGTAACCAGAACTAGATAATAACTAAGTTTCATTCTCACCTTCGACACCAGTTAACAAAAGCTCTTCTGGTCTTTCTTCGACAATGGACACGAGAAAACTAACAGCTACTGGGACGTTAACTTGAGCTTTAGGATGTTGATGCTCACCAAAGTAAACAGTATCTGTTATCTGCCCATTATGTGTGCGCTCCACTTGCCTCTTCACTGGACATTTTGCATGCGTACATCTGTAGTAACTTCGTACATATGCATTTCCCTTAACAAGTTTCTGGCCGTATTTTCTCCAGTGATAACCATCCTCTAACCCTCTCTCTCGTGCTGTAGATGGAGTGCTTCCTTCTTGACCAGATCGCAAGACAAGGGCAGAGGTTTCAGGGGTTTGTGGTGCTTTCTCAGATGTTAAAGAGGTAACACTTCCTTCTTGATTTGATTGAGATGCAGTACCAACATCATCAGGCAGCTGTAACGATTTCTCAGGTATTAGAGACTGAACATTTCCTCTATGATCTGATTGCAGGGAACAGATCCCATTATCAGGAGTTTGATGTGGGGCATGAATTTCACTATTTGAACTCTCTTTCTTCGGTACTATATCAGAAGCAATTTTATCTGTCCCAGGTTCCCCTAGAGAAATCATGTGAGCTTGATTCTTGTATCAGATACAGAAGAGCCTGCACTTCAACTCACGGTGCCATCATCACAATTGACCTCGACCTCAAAAAGATGCACATACCACAAGTTGTTCAACTCTGATCATGTAAAGTAAGGACACGAATGGCGGTCAGGACTTCCTAGCTTCAGAACAGATCAGAACAGTCATAAGGTAATGTCCCAAGACCTAATTTTATTTGAACAAAGATCATGAACAGCACAATTGTATGGTTTTCAGGGGAAACAAAATTAATGAAAGCGGACTCTCCTATCAATGTGAAGGGATGTGCACATATATGCATATTTGTGCGTGGGTGCTCAGGTGTATACACGAATATATACTGTTTCAATTTGGTTTGAGCGTATTATTAAAGTAGTAGTAAGAAGCAGTACTGGTACTTGTATTTCAAAATTTGCCACTTTTTAGAAGAAAAAAAAAACCTTCAAATTTGCAAAAAGAGGCATGAGACACCACCATAAACAAAATTTCAAATCTTTTGTTCCATCTATTACTCTTAGGGGGGAAAAATTACCACTCAATAATTACCCAGAAATGTAAATTTTAGAATATACCCTCCATCACAGTCAAGGAGAAACAAAAAGTTGATGGCTTTAAAGAATTTAACTATTGAGTCAAACGATCCTACTAGTACTAGCTCAGTTCAGGAGAAGTTTTGGGTAACTGGAAGTAAAAAGATGGAAAATCCAAGGACTCGGCTACCCTATTTTTCACACTTTCTCATCACCCAAACAAAGCATATGCTAATTAAGAGCTACAACTACAGCAAAAAAAAAATAAAAAATTAAACGACAAAAAAAAAAAAAACCAAATCACATGAGCTCAGGTCAATTATATTTAAAAAATAAAAAATAAAGTGTAAATCAAATAATTATAATAATCATCTGCAAACCATCTATTTTGAAGCTCAAAATTACAAACCCTATAAATTTCGCGATCAGGTGCTCCAATTCCACGTGAAGCAGCCGGCTTTAGATTAAATCAGAGCCGTAGATCACGCCGTTGCTGGGGATTGAGCTGAAGGTAAGGAGCTGGGTGCAGTGAGAGACGACGAGTCGAAGCTCTGAGGTTTTCCAAAAGTCTAATCCGTAATACGATGAAGGGAGAAAGAGGGGGAGGAGAAATTTGCTGGCTGCGATGAGGTGCAGAGAGGAATCTTTGTTCCTTGTTTGTCTGGGGCTTTGATTGGTTATAAGCCGTTGGAATCTTTAAGCACGGAAAGCATGCGGGCCATAGGCTGGTTCTCCTTGGACTTGGACTTTGGTTTGGACCGTCATAACGCCATTTCCGGTGTGTAAATAGAACCGTGGCCCTTGGCCCATTTTAAAATCACTTTGATGCCAAATTTTATATGTTCTTTTCTAACGACGTTAATTTAATTATTAATTATTATTTTAATACAAGTCATAATTTAAATTACTTTAAAAATTAATATGATTTATGGAGGGAGAAATTTGAATTTAGATGGAAGGTGGCGGATTCACTATTAGCCAACGACCTAACGAGAAATATTTTATTTAAGGATATATGAGTTAGGTCAATTGATCAAGACAGTATGTCACCTAAGCTCAATCCACCTCTCTATACATCAAAATAATTTAGATAATAATTTGAACTTGGAATATAGCACTTGGAAGTGCTCATGTGCTTTGTGAAGAAAGCATTAACAATGTTTTTAGAGCATCCGTAATGCTTGCTCAACAATTTATTTCAATTCAGTTTAATAGTTCAATTTATTGAACTTTTTTAGCAGCTATTGAACTGAACTACACTTTCACTTACAGTGGTGCAGTTCAATAGCTTACAAATTAAAAAGTATATCTTTTTAAATAATCAAATAAAATAAAATGAATAAAGTTAATTACAATAAGAATTATACAATTAAAATGGTTTCAAATGTATCTTTAAAAAGATACCAATTTTGAATATATAATTTTAAAAATTAGTAAAAAAAAAATTCTTTGGTTGGTGATAAGATTATATTAAC